ATCTTATATTGTAGTGCAATTCATTTATTCATCAATCCAGTAAAAACAGTAGTCCATCAGTAAAGTGATTCAGTAAAAACAAAGAGAATGGCAAATTTGGTCATAAATCAATCCTTATTGACTATTTTATCAATAATATTTCCCCTGATTTCACGAAGTAAAAACTGCCGTTCCAACGGCAATTGGTTTTCCTCAGCCCATGTGATGATAGTGTCAATACTGTTCAGCGCTGATTGATCTGGAACTGGTTCGTACTCCTCATCTTGGTTGTCATCTGCTGTAGACATGTTTGCAGTTTCATCCAGAGTGGTGTTCGTCACGCTTTCTCCTTCATAAAAATGTGAATCATGGTTAAGAACAGCATTGACTATGTCAGCATCAGACATGACATCGAATTCCGCATTCTCGTCTTCATTTTTGCCTGCAGCCGCTTTATCAGCAACTATCAGTTCAATTGTTACACTATCATCACTAGAGCATTTCACATTTCAAAAATATTAATGGAAAATGGTCGAAATTGATCGAGTGCGTCAAGTTAGGAACCGCGTCAAATATGGTGCCTTCACGGTAGCCGTGATTTTTACCCAAGCTCAACTTTGTCTCTTCACACTCGTGAGAGTCGCGAGACTACGATTTTTCTCAAGTTGAGGGGTTCCATGGCGTGGTTGGCTACACGTTCGCTTCTCAAGCGGATGGTCCATGGGTTCAATTCCATTGATCTTCTTATGGAATTTTGATGTATTTTAATGTGCCTCATGATAGGTTATTATCCAAGTCCGATTCTGGTCACTTTCCCGGGGCACCTGGAACTTGTCCGGAAGTGGCCAATATGGTCCAAGGTACTAAATTTTTTCCACCATTGATCTGGTTATCGAATTTTGATATAATCTGATGTGTCGCATGATAGGTTATTATTCAAGTCTGGTTCTGGCCACTTTTCCGGAGGCACCCTGAACTTGCCCGGAAGTGGCCAATATGGTCCAAAGGTACTTAAGTTTTGCCACCATTGATCTTGATATCAAATTTTGATTTAATTTGATGTGTCGCTAATTGGGTTTTGTTTCTTTCAAGTCAAATTTAGCCTCATGGCCCATAAAAGCCGGAACTTGTTCCGGCCATATCTACAAAACCAGTGGTCCGATTCCGTAATCCTTCAATAGCGTTCAATGGGACCACTAAAAACATTACACATTAGACCACATAAGACCAAACAAATTTTTTTTTATGGCTCGATTATCCGGAGGGCTCGATTATCTGGAGGGCTCGATTATCCGGAGTGAAATTTTTTTGAAGACTCCGGATAATCGAGTCCGCCCTGTAACTATGTTTTGACTACGCATGAAAAAAGTATGAGCTAATTCGGTTACTGTTAAAGCTGTTTAAAAGAGGGTACAAAAAACGAGGCATTTTACTAAAACCGTTCCAACTTCTTGCAGGTGTAGCCAATCAAGCATAAACTCAACCTATAAATCTTCAATATTTGATCAGCCAGTAGCTACGATTTCAGAAATTAGAAAACAAAGTCTGAAAAGTTACATTTCTTTGAAATTTTATGGAAAAAAATACGATGTTCAAGGAATTAAAAATATCTTCAAATGACAAAATGACAAGCGATCATCGAACCGAATAATAACGCTATGCCAGAAGTGCAAAGCAATAATGATATAATCTTCTTTCTTCTTTTTCATGACAAGCAGCCCGTGCGACACAACTCACTCGGGGTGGTAGAAGGAAACGAGCAAATTGTTGGCAAGCTGCTTCACGAAGTAAAGCCGAACATGATACACGTGTGTTAATGGGATTTTTTTTGTTATGTATTTTCTCAATTCATATCAAGCTATGTCCTCATCCGTGTATATTACAACAAAGCAGGCAAGCAATATATCATTATCCTTTTACCACTCAGATCGAGCTATGTTATAGAGCGAGTTTGTCATGGTAGTCGTAGCAACCGTTTTTTCTGTATCGTTGGTTGCTTTATGTGTTTGGATTCGCTGACGATGTTACATACCAATGTCCGGTACTGTGAATAACAATCTACACTACGCACTGTTTAGAACTGATAATGTACATAAAGGGTGATACGGTCAAAATTTGGTCAATATCAACCTGACGTATTTCTTTCAATTTTGCATTTAAAAAACCTGAACACCCCTCATTTTGAAGGTGTGTGTGTGTAGAATGTTGCTCCTATTTTGATTTTGGAATTCACTCTTCAGTTGTCAAAATGCCGTCCAAGCAAGAAGAGCAGCGTATCAAAATTTTGCTCGCGCTTCGCGAAAATCCGAGCTACTCGCACGCAAAGTTGGCAAAATCGCTAAAAGTTGCCAAATCAACCGTTACAAATGTAATTAAAGTGTTTGGGGAACGTTTGTCGACAGCCAGGAAGTCTGGATCGGGGGGAAATCGAAAACCGGAAGCCGCTGAGACGACAAAGAGAGTTGCCGGTAGTTTCAAGCGAAACCCTAACCTCTCTCTCCGAGATGCCGCAAATAAGCTGGGTGTATCGTCTACAACCGTGCATCGAGCCAAAAAACGAGCCGGACTATCGACTTACAAGAAGGTAGTGACTCCAAATCGCGATGATAAACAAAATACGACGGCCAAAGCGCGATCCCGGAGGCTGTACACGACGATGCTGACGAAGTTTGACTGCGTGGTAATGGACGACGAAACCTACGTCAAAGCCGACTACAAGCAGCTTCCGGGACAGGAGTTTTATACGGCAAAAGGAAGGGGAAAGGTAGCAGATGTTTTCAAGCACATGAAACTGTCAAAGTTCGCAAAGAAATATCTGGTTTGGCAAGCCATCTGTACCTGTGGCTTGAAAAGCAGCATTTTCATAGCTTCCGGGACTGTCAACCAAGAAATTTACGTGAAAGAGTGTTTGAATAAACGTCTGCTGCCTTTCCTGAAGAAACACGGTTGTTCCGTACTGTTTTGGCCAGATTTGGCATCTTGCCATTACGGTAAAAAGGCCATGGAGTGGTACGCCGCCAACAACGTGCAGGTGGTTCCCAAGGACAAGAACCCTCCCAACACACCAGAGCTCCGCCCAATTGAGAAATACTGGGCTATTGTCAAGCGGAACCTAAAGAAGACCAAAAAAACTGCTAAGGGCGAGCAGCAGTTCAAGGCAAACTGGCTTTCTGCGGCGAAGAAGGTGGACAAGGTGGCTGTACAAAATCTGATGGCAGGGGTCAAGCGTAAGGCCCGGCAATTCGGATTTGGAAAAGCGGAAGCCTAACTGAATATTTTTCCTGAATTTTATACTAATTGAACTTGAAAAAGAAATTTAATTTGATTTTTTAAATAAACGATTTCACCGATTTACACGCGTTTTCCCTTGACCAAATTTTGACCGTATCACCCTTTACTATTTAGGATGTGTCCCATTTGCCGAATTAAATTAACCCAAGCAGTTTGACTATTTTAAATTAAAAACATATATTGTGTAGTCGACCGAGTTCAAAAATTTTGATTGTCTAACTTGTTTTACGTAACAACAGCAACTCGATAGCTTGTGATTCATCACTTTTAACTAAAAGATAAATCAAACTCGGTAATTGGTCACACCCTTAATTTAAAAAAATGTACATCTTACCTTTCATGAGTTGGCTGGAAATGCTATATTAATATCAACATGAAGCTTAAGTGTGACAATTTTTTAGCTAGAGAAAGGTCTGAAGAGGAAAGGTTGATGATAGTTTCGTTAGAGTACAGTGTGAAAATTTAATAGAAGTTGAAATTAAGCGGAGGCCCATGCAACTTCTATTCAATTTTCACACTGCCGTACCCTAACGGAACTATCATCAACCTATCATCTTCAGACCTTTATCTAGCTATAATTTATTATTTACACACTAAAGCTTCATGTTGATATTAGTATAGCAGTTCCAACCAACTCTGGAAAACGTAAACTTCACGTATGAAGTAACAAAAAAAAAACACTTTGAATTTTACCTTTTATGCCACTTGCGGCACCTGCCCTAGTAGAAGTAAGCACATTTCTGCGTCCTGCGGATTGTCCTGCAGCACCTATATACGAGCCCGTTAACGCATCTTTCCCACCGGGGTTACGGGTTTCGTCTGCATCTGCCCTAGAGGAAGCTGGCACATCATCGTTGGGAGAAAGACGGTTCTCTCCATTTGAGCATTGGTGTGGTTTTAAGGATATTTCTACGAAAAAAAAATATGCTTACTGCAATTCTAGACTCTTTTTTTAAACATTACCTCTACTGTCAATTTCGGCTACTGTACTTAAAGACGCTGTTGCATCACCGCTGACTCGAGGACAATTCTCCTGGTCTGCGGCTTGCTGCGATTGTCTGTATCTGCGGATACCTGCCGGTTTACAGATCGTTCTGCGGTACCTGTCCTTAAGGAAATTGGTGCATCACCAACGCCGGGAGTACGATTATTTTCGTTGACTGATTGATGTAGCTTCAATGATTTTTCTACAGCATCTACCCTCAGTTAGTATATCTACCCTCAGTAGTATGCACCCTGAGTTAGAATTTGTTAATATGAAAAACATGTACGTTGATTGCACAGATGGTAATCATACGGATTAATCCAGACGTAAAGGTTATTATAATAATTTAACTATCATTATTTATAGGTACCAATTGTGACCAACCCATATTGAACGACTGATGTGCAACAAATGAAGAGGTTATCATTGAGTGTGCAAAGATTTTTTTTTTTTCAAAAACTGGAGAAGAAAACATTTTCAAGCGTTGCAAAACCAAAAGGAACAGAAACATTTTAAAAATCCAACCAATTACAGGAAAAGTAGTTAACATCACGAAGTCAAAATGCGTTGGCTTTTGTCTTCTGGACGCTTCAGAAGGAAAAACGATCATTTGCAACGCTTCCATCGCATTCGGACAGTACCGACGACACGTAAGAATGAAAAAGGGACCGTCCAATAATTATGACACATCACAAAAAAAAATCATCCCTTTCACATTTATTATATATTTTCCTTCAAAAACTCGCTATGGATCATCACTATTTTTAGTTATTACTATATCTACACAACCCGAAACAACCTTCCCATAAAGTGCTATTTATCGTATCGTTTCTTAACGGCATTGTACAACTTCTTCTTACATGTACTATTTGCTTGTTCCGGAACCGTCTTACGGCTTTTGGCGCACATTGTTTCTCCAGAGCGCTCTCAATCTGTCGAACGATGGTTCATGATTTGGCTACGGCATCACGGAGTACAGTTTGCACTACAAAGCACTTGTTGTACAAATCTCAATCAATGTTTTAACATGGATTCGACGCTTGATATATTGATATGCATATAGGTATTGGGTGTGTTGTTACTGAATTAGCCATGAAGTGCCGATAGTTATATTCCAATTGTTGTGGCGGATGTTACTGCTGTTGCCGGGCCTGGAAATGATGTTGTTGCGGGGGTGCAGGTTTCTGCTGAATGAAAGAATTGGTGTTTTCCTTTCTCGAGTGATACTCATTCGGCTGGAACACTCCTCTCTATTTGATGTTGACACTAGTATCCTTGATGATGGTATCCATTGGTTGATCATTGTAGATACACTTGTTGGAGTACGGTAACTATTCACTCAAGAGGGTTGAAGTAGGTGCTTGCGTTGCGTACAACAGGTTTAGCAGCTAACTTGAACCAACCGAATAGTACTGATGGTTACAATGCACAATGCAAGTACAGAAACGGTCCATGAATCTGCTTCCAGGACGGATCATCGCATTGATTGTCCTTTAAATCGTTTTTCAGTTTCGTCATAGTTTCTTAAACCAATCTAAATGCTAGTAAATAATGATACAAAACATCCTGGGTGGCATCTGCGTCCTCCATTGCACTCCAGGTTCACTCGGAGATTAGTTCCATTTTCGTAGCGAAAGACCATTAGTATCGTTCGACACCTTGTTTAAGGTTAGTACTAAATATGTACTCGCCAACACAACCCTTACTACAATGAGGAAAAGTAGCAACAGAAGCAACGAACTGGATAACGTTGGACAAGGTTCGAACGAATTAGAACCGTTAATACATATTCCATGTTCCAAACGGATCAAGTTAAGGTCCCTGGGACGTTTGCCGTGTCAAGAAGCTGTTGCCATTTCACGGGATCCTTGGCCAGTTCCCACACATTTCGGGAATCCTTTATAATCTCCAGATCGTCTTCAACGCAATTGAGCCATCTTGCTCGTGGTCTTCCTCGATTTCTCCTTCCTTCCGGATCACTTTCCAGAACCATTCGGACCGGGCTGTCATGTGGTTTCCTAATGACGTTCCCTGCCCACCGTAGTCTGTCAACTTTCGCTTTCTGTACAATGGATGCTTCTCCCAGCAGCGCATGCAGTTCGCGGTTCGCTGGGTTAAGCTTCTTTTCATTGTCTTTCTGCGGTGATGTGTTATAGATCGTTTTCAATACCTTGCGTTCAAACTCACCTAGTTTGGTTTGATCCTTCGCGTTCATGGTCCAGGTCTCGTGACCACCGAGGACAAATGGTCTGATACTCGTCTTGTAGATTTTTAACTTCGATTCGTTGCTCTTTCTAGTGGACTCAAGTGTGCTTAGATGTTCATTGTAAGCACCGTCTCCTTTTAATATCCGGCGTTCGATCTCTTTTGTTGTGTCATTGCCGACGGTTACCAACGAGTCCAAGAATAGATACTCGTCAACCACCTCAAATGCATCGCCACTTAGTGATATCCGAGAACTGCTAGCTAAACTATCATTTTTCGAGCCTGTGGCTCTCATATACTTGACCTTATCTGAATGAAAAACCAAACCCAACCGCTTTGCTTCCGTTTTTAACGCTGCGTACGTATTTTCCAACTCCTCAACGCTTCGTGCAATAAGATCCATGTTGTCGTTAAAACTGATAAGCTGGACCTTTTTTTTCTGGAAGATTGTGCCTTCCGTTTCTACCTTCGCTCTCCGTACGATACCTTCGATGGCGATGATGAATAGTAATCTGGATAGTTCACAGCCATGTCGTAGTCCATTCTTGGGCTTTGAGCTATTCGAGGTGACTTCGTGATACATCAAGCTTTCCGTGGTAGCCTTAATCAGTCGTGTCAATTTGGTCGGTAGACGGTATTCGTCCATAATCTGCCACAGTTGATCTCGGTCAACCGTATTGAGCGCATCGCTCAAATCCATAAATAGGTGGTGTGTTGGTACATTAAATTCACGGCACTTTTGTAGAACTTGTTGAAGTGTGAATATCGCTTCCGTAGAGGTATCCGCTCGATATTTTCCTTTGAAATCGTTCGCTATGGGTGTCAAACGGAAGAAAAGAATCCCGGAGAGCACCCGATGGGCGGCGTTCAGCAGAACAGTTGCACTGTAGGTACAGCAAACCGAAGACGACGTGTCTATTTTCTTGCAAATTCGACGATCACGAACCTCATTCTCAATCCACTCCTGTGATAGCGTCTGCTCCTGCCAAATTTTGGTGATGATCATGTGTAGACCTTCGGATAGAGCAGTCACTCCATGTTTGAATAGTTTACTCGGCAGGACATCTTTACCGGTGGTTTTATTGCCCCGAAGCTTCTTGGTCTCATTCTTTATTTGATCTAAGTGGGGTTTTTCTAGGGTTACATCAAAATTTGCCGCATCGCTTTCTCCGGCTTCCATCTCAGCTATCTCGTTGCTAATAGTTGGTGACCCTATGGCATAGTTAACAATTTTCCATAATTTACCCCCAAAGTTTTCCTGATTCAGCTCAATATCCGAAGAAGCTTGTTCAGTATCACCGAAGCTTCCAGGTTCCGTCCTTTCGTAGGTCAGGCTGAATTCCCGTTGCGGCCTCGTTGCTCGCTCGTGTGAGGCTTCTACTTTGATTTTGACGTCATTGCGCTCCGTTTTGCGATCTAAAAAAGAATTAAATTGTTTAAAAAAGGTTCTAACATGCATGTAATAGCCAATTTTAATGTTTCTTAGATGGAAGTACCGACTCAATTTTACAATAAGTGGATTGGTTCACAAAGAGAGAAAGGTGTTTCAAACTGACCAGGAAAAAGTTCTCGAATATGAGGAAAATCGACGTACATTTTACTTAGTCTAGCAGTATACTAAACGAGATACTAATAGACTGAGTGAAAACTCTGGTGAGAATTCATCTAAAGTTGTCGCAACTACCCTAGAGTTTCGAAAATCGTCCAGATGTTCATTGATCGGGCGTAAAGATCCGTAATTCTATTTTTTTTTAAATTTATCATTTTTTTGGAATTTCTGTTGAGTAGTTTAAACCTTTGTGAATTTCAGAAACTCTTTCAACTGCCTGACTTTCTTTAATTACACAGAACTTTCCCATATTTTTTCTGAGTTTAGTTGAACTGTCTTGAAGTTCTTTGATCTAACCTGAAGTATGCTAAAGGAATTTCCCAAGTATTTTGGATTTTTTTGGATTTTTCAGAAGTTCTAAAAACTACACCAGAGGTTCTCGAAACTTTCCTTAGTTGCCGAAATTGAATCTTCTCTGACGTCCCCGTTATTTTTCTGAAATTCTCGGAACTCTTTTGAAGTTCTCTTGACTTCTTTGAAGCTCTTTGGACTTCCCTGCAATTATCAGGACTTCTCTATGAGGCTCAATTTTCTTGAAACTCTGAATCCAAATTATTAACGCGATTGTCACTGAAGTTCTATAAATGTTATTGAAACTCGTGGAACCCTGAAAGAATAAAATATCCAACAAAAAGTCTGAGCCTCCCTGAAGCTATTATAGCTACCCTAGACCCAAGGGGTGGTCACTAGACTGATGCAAAATTTGAAATTTTTGCTCCACAGTGTTCAAACGGTTTCAAATCGGGTCCTGATTAGCCTCCTAAAGTTTAAACTCATTTGATAAGAAACTGACTTGGCACAAACCATTTGAAGTTAATATGGAAATTACTATGGGAAAACAAAACTTTTTGTTCATTGTCTTCTAGCCTTTTTACATATTGTACCGTTAACAAATTCTATTGCTATTCTTATGGGAATTTTTATCAGCTACAACTTGGCAGAACATTGTTTTTCAGCCAAACGTCAAATTAAATAGTTATTAATTGTTTAAGAGATTGATAATGCTATGGCAAGATTAAGCAACTGTATTGTGGGCAACACTGTATTCTGCAGTGTGACATAGTAGCCATGATTTTTGTCCTCTATTCTACGCGCCATAGACACCAATGTTGCCTGCTGAACAGTTGATTGAGCATAATCATAAGACATCAGTGACTTGAATCATTAATAATTTTTGTTCCTTACATTTGATCGAAAAGAGTTCTTTAACAAAGTTGTAGCTGAGAAAATTTTAAACAAGTTAAGCTATCATTTTCTAAAGTAGAGTGAACTGGTGAACTTTGAGATTGATATGAACCGAAATTATGGTTTCTCCATAGTAATTCCCGTATAAACTTCAAATGGTTTGTGCCAAGTCAGTTTCTCACTAAATGAGTTCAAAATTTGGGAGACTAATCAAGGCCCAATATGAAACCGTTTGACCAATGTAGAGCGAAAATTTCAAATTTTGCATCAGTCTAGTGGTCACTCTCATATGGTCACACACATATTATGCGTCAATTTTTTTTTCTCAGTGCGCCCGTCCATTTCAGTGGAATTTTTCAAATAATAACTACCACTACGGTCAAAAAGTATTCGTTTTACTCTGACACTCGAAATAAAGAGACTAAATTGGGTAAAGGCCTGTATAGAGATCTAAGCGAAGCGAAAATCTCATACAAAATACTACATTTTTCACCTGCGCGAAAAACGCATTGGCAAATATTTCGCTTCGCTTTGAACTGTAAACAGATAGGATCCAGCGAAATCTAATTTTGTGGATGGCATCTTTTTCGCTTACGTTTATTTTTTTTTTTCGCGCATGCAGCGCTCGCGAAAAGGGCAGCAGCTAAGCGAAAAGTTGACGTTTCGGGAGAGCGTATCTGTCAAATTTTCACTTCACCGGAGGTGTAAACTGATCGATTTCGTTTCACATGAACTGTAAACTGCGAAAAAAGGAAACTGGAAAATGTTCCACAAACATTTTTTCACAACCTTTTTCGCTAGCGAAATTTCATGACTTTTCGCGTGCTTCAATTTTCGTTTCGCTTCGATCTGTATACTAGGCTTAGGCTGTTCGCAATGCTGTTGTTTTTATATGGGCTGTTTTAATTTGAAACTAGAACAAAAACACAACCCTCGCAATGCTGAGTTGCAGTTTCATTTTTCGAGCACTTGTTTGGAACAAATTAACCACTTCATTCGAGCAGCTAAAATGACGTTTACTACCACTCGAACTTTGAAATAAAACATTATTTTGAGATTTTTTCTTCTAGAACCTCGAGAAAAGTAGCCAACATTTGTGCGTTTCATAAAAAAAATAGAAATTAGTTGGTCCAGTTTTGTGAAATCGCTGGTAGAAAGTCACGCTAAAACTGCTTGACAAAGTGGTCAATTTGCAACTGCTCGACAGTTCTGTTTCATTTTTACGCGTGTTTGAAACAGAAATGGAACTCTGTTTCAAACTTCTGTGAGTGAATTTGTGAGCTTTTCACTGTTGACAGATGGTAGCTAACCAGCAGAGACTGCAGAGCAGACAGAAAAAAAAAACGTTTCCCTTCGCTTCATCTTCTATCAACAGTTTCGTTTCGCGGATTTTGCAGGTAATTAAATTGATTTATTTATTTGTAAACGTTTATCTTTTGCAGTGCGTTTTTGAAATAATTTCCGCATAGAGCATATGACCACAAACGAAGTGACAGACGGAGCGGCTCGAAAACTTTGGTGACTAACCTGCTATTGCAATTTTTCAGTGTACCACATGGCAACACCACTACTACTGGATTGTACCACATGGCAACACTACTACTAGATTGAACTAGCATTTTCACCAAATGTACTAGAATGTTTTGGTTCTATCTCTTTCACTCTACTCAAAACTGAAATGCATAAAAAAAACGACAAAATGATACGCACTCTTTGCACACTGTCAAAGAATCATTGTACACAAAATCAACTTTGTTCAAATCAAAACAAAAAAACTAACCTATCTGGTGGATGATGGCACAAGCTTCCAAGAAACTTCTATTACAGTGAACCACATTATTTTAATGGATTTCTTCGCCAGTTAGTCGTCTGTCACTTCGTTTGTGATATGACCGTTCACGCCCTCCCAGCAAACTGAACAACAAATAGCAGCGGAAAACTGATTTGCATAGGTTGGTCCGATGCGGAGGAATTCCTCTGGTTTCAGAGCGATGTGTCTTTGTGGCGGAACAATATTTGGGAACTTCCTGGATAAGTTACAGATTGGTAAATTATGTGTCGGAGGTGCATTTTCGCATCCAGTTCGGGGGTGCTGACGGCCGCCCAACAAATGTGCATCGTAAACCGTATTAAGGATGGAAAGTGGCGTTTGCTGTCGTAAATGCTGACACTTTCTCTTTAATTTTACGTTCAGGGGATCGCAGTACCTGTTGCCTGCTCTCTCGGGGACCAAGTATTGCGAATTAGTCAGGAAGTTATCATTAACTACGTGTCGAATGTTTTCGTCGTCGTGTTGATTGGCGATTCCAACAAATACCCGTACGATTCACCTATGGTCGTGAATTGTGTGGAAGCTGTCGACCATAGGTAAGTTTCACACACCCAGAAGAATCTGATCCGATCAGCTCACTTCAAGCTGAGCTTTGTAGCCAAAGAGCTACATTAAAATGCGACGGGTGCTGAGGATGTTGAATTCCCTGCGAAAACTGGTTGTCTGGCTCTATCTTCATGATTATGCGGAAGGAGTGCGCTGTTTTTGCACAATTATACGCTATTCAGTCCAGGAGTCCTACTGAAGTTCTGGGAAGTCCTGCCGAAGATTCAAAAAGTCTAGCAGAAAATTCGGGTGGTCCGAACAAAACAAAAGTCCTGACGAAGTTCCAGGAAATCCTGAAGAAGTTCCAGGAAGATATGATGAAGTTCCAGGGAAGTCTTTCTGAAGTTCCGGGAAGTCCTGATGATGATGATGGTCCCTTCTCTTTCCCCCGGGAAGTCTTGTCGAAAATCTGGGTGGTCCTGATAAGGTTCCGGGAAGACCTGTCGTAGTTCCAGGAAGTCCTGTCGTAGTTCCAGAAAGTCTTGTCGAGACTCAGGGTGGTCCTGACGAAGTTCCAGGAAGTCCTGCCGAAAATTTGGGATGCCCTAAAAAAGTTCCAGGAAGTCCTGCCGAAAATTTGAGATGCCCTAAAAAAGTTTCAGGGAAGTCTGTTCGATGTTCCGGGACGTCCTGCCGTAGTTTCGGGAAGTCTTGGCGAAAATCCTACCGACGTTCAGGTGAAGTCTTTTTGAAGTTCCGAAAAGTTCTGTCGAAGTTCCGGGAAGTCTTGTCGAAGTTCCGGGAAGTCCTGCTGAGGTTTCGGGAACTCCTGCCGTAAATTTAGACTGTCCTAAGGAAGATCCAGGGAAAACCTGACGAAGCTCCAGGGAAGTCTTGCTTGTCTACTAAAAATATTCTAACGGAGCTTAACATTACAGTTTTTGTCAAAATATTGACATATTATATGATAGGCCCTCAAGACTCAAATAGTCAGCAATCAACTTTTGATGTGCTTCTTGAAAATTACGGCGGATGTAGGCTCTGCTTCACCGATGATGATGTGGCCGGTAGTCTTCTGCAAAATAATTGATCATCGAAGCATAATTTTATATGTTGCATATTAAGATATTAAGATACCTTCAAGCTCCAGCAACAAAACATCTAGTTCAGAGTCATCAACAATCAAAAACTGGTGATCCGACTCCATATTTGTTGCTTTCAAATTCAATTTTTTCACTTGAATGAGAACACTGCCTCGGGCTCGGACACCGGGCAAACAGGCGCAAATTGAAAAACCTCACCAAT